GAGGGACTTGATGAGAGTATTTGTCTCGGAAATGGGTAATGTGGCTTAACTGATAGTACTTCAGTAGTATTGCGGTGCTTTCTTGTTAGGTCAATCGCCGATATCTGATTTTGTTTGATGGCACAAGGGAAATATTAGAATATCTTTCGTGGAATGATTGGGTACTTGAGGTGTGATATATATTCATACGGCGGAATTCGGGATCAGGTATGGTGATTCGTGTGCTATATGGAGTTGGAGACTGGGAGTTCTCAGGTACAGACTATGTAGTGGTTGTGGATCGTGGGTATCGGCGCCGTTTAGCGGCTACTGGGATTTGGAGGCCCGAGTGGATCTTTCTTTGCCTGGTATGTTAGATTTTGGATATGATGTTGGCGTGTAGACTGGTTGTCTCAGTGTTGGGTTATTCTAGATTATTGCGCTATAGGCTATGCCGGAAAACACCACGGGTTGAGTGGCGAGGTGCATTGGATTATGTTCTAACAGAGTGGTTTATATTTCAAAGACTAAGCGGACGGCTGGGAAGAATTGCTTTTCTTAATTGGGCCTTCGTGATGGATGTCACTGCAGAGGTTTCTACCATTGATTCAGTTCCGGTATTGAGGCACTTTTCGGATGCGTTTCTTGTGGCCGGGCATGTCGCCGGGCGAGGTTGTGGATTTCAATATTGATTTGGTGTCGGGCACCGTATCGTACGGCTCCGGCAGGAGTTGTAGTAGTGGAAGGAGAAACTTCAGGCTCCTTGGTAATGAGTTCGTTGGCAGGCTGATGTGGCTACGTATTCAGCTTGAGTTGCTTTTTGGCGTTGTGAGGCGTTATAATTCGTTGGTTATGGGCACATATGGTGCGGTTCTATTGGGGATTCATAGTGAAAGTCGAGCGGGAAGAGTAATTGGGTGTTGCTCCGTAAATGGAGTGTTGGTTATGACCTATCAGGTTGCATGTCGTATGTTATCTGTTTCACTGTGGGTGTAATGAATTGCTTGGGTTCCAGACATCAAACTGTGTGTGGCTGTCGATTTTGAGCATAGTGACTTGAGGTGTTTCATGTGTAACAGTGTTTGGATAGGATCGTACATTGTGGCGAGGCCACGTGGAGATATGACCTTTCAGGGTAGATTCAGGTGTTCTATTTCTATGATGTGAGACGAGGTCTCAGCCTTGTGTGGTGATGGTATTGATGAGCTTGAGGTAAAGCTCTTTCGTTTGAGTCATTTTCATGATTTGAGTATATTCAGATCGTTTCTTATTGGTGCGCGTATTATGCAAGTTGTGGCTTAGGCCTGTATTTAGGTGTCATATCACCAGGGTAGTGTGTTGGATTCGAGATGATCGTTGGGGTCACTAATGAATACGAACGGATTGATTTCAGCTTGTTGGACGGATAATATCGAGGTTCGGCTCGGAATCTGCTCTGGTATTAGTCAAAGGGAAGTGGCTTCATGAATGGTTGATCTGAGAAATGGTTACGGTTTATTGCGTGTTTCATTTATCGTTGGCAGTATATGAAAGTGTTGGAATAAGACCTTAGTTGATAAGAGGTTTTCTACCGGTATTCGGGTGTTGTGGGAAACTGTTGTGAATAGAAGTTATCGTTTCGAGTGTTTGGGTTACGTAGGATATCATGTGATTGCACCTGAGGTTGCAGGTATGGGTTATTACAGCTGGTTCGGGTTTATTCCGAATATAGATGTGAGGTTCTGATCTTGTGTATGATTTCGGAAAGTTCAATGTGGTTCTATGGTTTATGGACCAGATGGATTGTGGAAATTTTAGTTATGTTGTGTTATCGGACCTATGCGAGATAGGGTGACGTGGGATCACCCCCGGGTATATGCTTGGTAAGGTCATTCAGCTATTCGTTGGCTTCTAGGACAACTCTGGGTACGCCCGAGGACGAGCGTTTGTTTAAGTTGGGGAGGATGTGACGACCCGACCCGTCGTCTCAGGAGTTACAGCCCCGTTTCCCCCATTTTATGCTTCTTCATGTTTCATTATCAGTAATTGGTGTGTTAGAGTTGATTTGGATTGGTTTTGGTAGGAAATGAGACACTTAGTCTCTTTAAGCAAGGCTTGGTTTGGAAAAGTCAATCGGAGGTTCACATATGAGTTATAGGGCTCAGATGTGATTTCCGGTGATTCGGTTAGCTTCGGGGGATGATTTGTGACTTAGGAGTGTGATCGGAATTGATTTTGGAGGTCCGGTGTAGAATTAGGCTTGAATTGGCGAAGTTAGTATTTCGGCGAATTCCGGTTGAAAGGTGAGATTTTGATTCGTGGGTCGGAATGGAATTCCGAGAGTTGCAGTAGCTTCGTTAGGTGATTTGGGATGTGTGTGCAAAATTTCAGGTGATTCGGAGGTGGTTTGGTTGGGTTTTTGATCGAATGCGAGTTTCGGAAGAATTTGAGGAACTTAGGCTTGGATTTGATGTAATTTGATGGTTATTGTGTTAATCGTGGTGTTTTGATGATGGGAGAAGTTTGAATAAGGTATTGGATCATGTTTGTGTTTTTGGTTGAGGTCCCGGGGGCCTCGGGGTGAGATCGGATGGTTAAACGGAGAGTTTTGGAATTTTTGCATGTTAAAGGTCTGCTGGTATCTGGTGTTTTCGCACCTGCGGTTATGGGACCGCAGGTGCGGTCACGCAGAAGCGAAGGGAGGATCGCAGAAGCGAGATTTTGTCGGGGCCACTGTTTTCGCAGAAGCGCTTGGGTAGCCGCATCTGCGAAGTCGCAGATGCGGGATTTTGCGTCGCAGAAGCGGGTCTTGGATTTTTGGGATTTTCCGCAGAAGTGGAATGAGACCGCAGAAGCGGAAGTCGCGGAAGCGACATTTTACCGCAGATGCGGTAATGACTGGACAGAATGGGTTTTAATGATATTTCATCCGCGAGTCTAAGTTATTTTCCTCCATTGTTGAACATCTTGAGAGCTTTTTGGGAGCAATTGAAGAGGGTTTCGACTGGGATTGACTGGAGGTAAGTTTTATGAGTTAAAAACATGATTATTATGTGAAATTAACCTAGAAATTCATGGAAATTAAGCCTAAAATTGATGAACTAGGGCTTGAGTTTTTGATATTTTAAATTGGGATTTAATGGGTCATTTGAGCTCGGATTTGAGAGTTCTTAGTATGTATGAACTCGTGAGAAGATGAGGAATCCATTGATGTTAAATTTTCTGTGAGAAGTGGGCCCGGGGCTCGGTTTTGCTAATTTCGAGATTTTTGCTATTTTTCGATTGTTTTCGATTGGGTATTGTCCCATTGGCATATTGTGATGTATTCGCTCTGATGTTGGATAGATTCGACGCGCGTGGAGGCGGTTTGAGGGGCAAAGGCATCGCGAGCTAGAGATTTTACCTGTTCGAGGTGAGTAATGATTGTAAATGATATCCTGAGGGTTAGAAACCCCGGATTTGCACACCATAATGCTATATTGAGGTGACTTGCACGCCGGATAGCGAGCGTGGGGTAGAGCACCGTTGGGGATTGTGACTTGGTCCGTCCCGATTGATGATTTTATCGCGTATTTGACTGAAACATATTTGTTATTATCATGATTTGGGTTGATTGCCATATTTGGGCTTCGTGCCAATTATTTGAACCCTTCGGGGATTTTATCACTGTTTCCTCACTATTTGACATACTACTTGAACTCAGTCCTGTTGATTATACTGATTTACGAACTCAGCCGTTTTAATTGAACTTTGAGACTTAAATGATACTTTCCATTGTTAATTGGGATGAGCACTACTATTTTTATTGATGCCCGAGGGGCTTATGATATTTTCTGGACTGCGTGAGGCTTTCAGGCCTCGAGCGTGAGGTGAGGAGGCTTTCAGGCCTCGAGTGATATGTGAGGAGGCTTTCAGGTCTCGAGTGATATGTGAGGAGGCTTTCAGGCCTCGAGTGTAATGTGAGAAGGCTTACAAGCCTCATGTTGATATGTACAGGCTTTCAGGCCTTATGATGATATAGCGCTTGGGCTGTAGGAGCCCCTCCGGAGTCTGCACCCCCACAATGAGCGCGGGTACCCATTTGATTTGAGAGTGAGCCCGAGGGGCTGATGTTGTACTGTGTGACTGATACGGAGCCCGAGGGGCTGATACTGTTTTGAGAGATGTGATACTGTGCCCGAGGGGCTGATACTGTTCTGAGTGATTGATATTGAGCCCGAGGGGCTGGTACTATTTTGAGATATTGTCCGAGGGGCGAACTTGGATGTGCTCATCTTGCATATTTACTTGTCTTTTTACCTGTTATATTGTGGTATTTGTGCCCGAGGGGCGGATTTTTCCGTGCTTATCAGCACTAACTATTTTGAAATCGTTTTCGTTATTATTGAAAAGATCATTTTTAAAAGAGATTTGAACTGAGCCAAGGTATTTCTAAAGATATCATAGATTTCACTGTTTTCTCATAAACTTGTACCCGGCTTCTATACAGTATGTTGGTTGCTTACGTGATTTCTTGCTGATCGGTTATTATTTACTTTTATTACTCACTGAGTTGGAGTACTCACTTTACTCCCTGCACCTCGCGTGCAGATGCAGGTAATTATTCACCCGGTAGCGGGTTTTGAGCTGGTGGAAGATTTTGCTATCGTAGCTGAGCAAGGTGACCGGCAGCGTTCGTGGCACCGAATCTTCTTCCTTTGATTCTAAATTTTATTCTGTATATTGCTGGCCTTGTAGTATTATTTAGACTCCTCTAGATGCTCGTGACTTGTGACACCCCGGTTTGGGCAGTGTTTGGTTGTACTTCCGCCAAATAATATTATTGAATCGTCTTTAAAAATTGTTGATTCATGTTATCTATTTTTATGAAAAAGGCAAATAGGGTTGGTTGGCTGGGCTTGTCTTCCTGAGAGGCGCCATCACGACCGGAGCGGGGTTTGGGTCGTGACACATTATGCTCTTGTTTTCATATATCATTAGATGTATCATGACCATCCCTCCATTCTATGATTTTCGCTTGACAAGTATAAAACTTGTTGCAGATCATCAGACTCCTGGCAAATCATCCACATTTTCAGATTACTTTGATGACCGCTGACAGGAAAGCTGGCCAATCAATATAATCGGTTTTTTCTCACCTAGTCACACAAGTATGGATATTCATATTCACTTACTTCTATTCTTTCTTATGCTTTTTGGAATTTGAATTGATGTTATATAGGACCCAAAAGTATTAATTTTACTTCCTCTATATTTTTTGTGCATTTTCAATTTAGACCATGAAGTATTAATTTTACGTCCTCTATATCTTTTCCTTATCAACCATTCCCCTTTAGGATCTTCCGAGTCTGGTTGATGTTAAGGATGCAGATTTCTCTGCTGTGGAAGCTGTTTCTTGTTGTTTGCCACATGGTACAACTCAGGTTTGTAGCAATTCCATATCTCAGATTTTCCAAAATCAATCAGCCTCTTATCAAAGGAAGAGTGGTCTCATTTTGCGTATCATAAATTCTAATGGAGATCTTGAGACTTGTATTTAAGTTTTTAATTTTTTTAATTAGTTACATTTTGCAGAAAATTATCAAAAGTCTTCCCACAAATCTAAAGATTGTTGATCTTTCTGCGGTATGCATTCAGATTATACTTCAGTTATACTTCTCTGCATCTCAAAAAATTTCTATTCTTACTATCATCATCATGGTCATGTAGGACTTTAGATTGCGAGATATTGTTGAGTATGAGGAATGGTATGGCCAGCCTCACAAAGCAACAACTTTGCAGGTAGAGTAGTCGATTTCTTCTCTCCCTCGTTCCAGAAAAATGAAAAAAATAAAAGGAACTTCATGTTTGATACAAATATATAGTGTTATATGAAGGTTTACAACCAGAGTCCTAACCAGAAAATTTGGAGTATCATATGCGAAAATGAGAGAATTCTTTCATTAGTTTTCCTCCAATTGAGTATCTTCTTATGGCCAATATAAGCTCAGCAGTTTGAATGAGTATTCCGTTGACTGATGCAGCAAGAATCAGTCTATGGCTTGACTGAGATTTCGAGGAGAGAAATTCAAAGTGCTCGTCTGGTTGCAAATCATGGTTGTTATCCGACATCTGTTCAACTTCCTCTTATTCCCTTGATAAAGGTTTGCATCTAAGTTGAAAACCAAAGCGTATATTTCACGTGCATTTGACTTTGGGGACTCAACACAGGGTTTGGGTCCGTCTAGGACAGGTATACCCAAAATAACAGACCATCTTGATACATCCTATGTGCTACATGTTGCATTTCTTCAAGGGTAAAAGGGTCATTTGGCTAACCAATGATAGTTGAGGGCAAATAAAAAAGAAAAGAAAAAAGAGAGGGTGAAGTGTGAAAATAAAGCAAGTAAAGCAAGAAGTGTGAAAAGATTTTGTACTTTTTCATCATTTTCCGAAAATCAAAAATCAAAAAAGAGGAAAAAGAAAATCCAAAAAAGAGTTTACATGTTTCATCATTATTCAAAAAAAAAAGACAAAAAAAATATATTTTCTTTAAATTAGTTATTTTTTTTTAATTCTTGCCTGTATCCAATCTGCTGGAACTACGCATACCTGATTCTCGTCTTTTGGGGCGTGATACGTAGGCAACCCACATAGGGTCCGGTCTTCCTAGTAAATCTTAGGTTCTTGGCTTCGCGGGGTCTTAGCCAAATCTTACATTTTTAGCCATATAAGTTAATTTTGGAAAAATAGTCACAATCATGTCTTGCACGTGTCTAGTAGGGAATGCTATTGTCTCACATAATGTAGGTTGAAGTTTTCTGATACATGTGTGGATCTACTTATCGGAGTTTGGGCATGATAGATACCCCAGGACCACTGCATTCAGGAGCTGCCTGAGGAGTTTTTTTTTATGTTTTTGAGTCTATTGCTCATCTTTTGCTTTCTAGTCCTGTATTGTAGTATTTAGTCATTTAGTTAATGCTAGAGTCTGTCATAGTCCAGTTAAGTTTGTCGAGTCTTTTGTTATTATTTCCTATTTTGCATTTGAAAATGTATTATAAATCAAAATTCCAAAAAAGAGATATTTTGCGTTTTTTATTTCTGTTAGAATTGTTTTTAGAAATACTACTCCTAAAAATTTAAAAAAAGAAGAAGCTTGAGGTGGTTTTATTTTACGAAATTAATATCTAGAACTCAAAAAAAATTTCTTTTATATTTCTTTCGTATATTAAGACTAAAAATTCAAAAAAAAGTATCACGATCCAGAATCTCCACCTTCGGGAGTCGTGATGGCGCCTACTCGTAGAAGCTAGGCAAGCCACGCATTTAGAATCCATAAGTACTTTTGTTTCAACTCCATTATTAATAATTTCATTAACAGGATATAAATAATTAATCAACAACGAAATTTGTAATTTAGCGGAAGATTTAGATGAAATAAACCAAAATGGTAAGAGAATCCACATATGTCTCTACCCAGAACTGGTGTCACAACGTATACGGACTATCTAAGAGTACTACATACAAGTATCTGAAACAAAGAAATAAAGTCTGTCTCGGGTACAAAAGTAAACAGTGCATCAACATAGATAGAAGAGATGTCGGGCCTGCGGACGCCTGCAGGACTACCTCGGGATCTCACGGGCTGAAGGCTGACTCCCGAACTAATGCTGACCACCTTATACTGCTCCGGTATCTGCACATAAGTGCCAAGTGTAGTATCAGCACAACCGACCCCATGTGCTGGTAAGTGCCTAGCCTAACCTCGGCAAAGTAGTGACGAGGCTAGACCAGACCACCGCATAAACCTGTGCAGTTATATATATATATATATATAGCGGAAACAGAAATATAGAGATAACCAGTCAATATGGTAGGGGAGCATGCTCTGGGGAAAAGTAACAATTGCAAGTAAAAGTCATCAAGTAACGAAGGAAACAACATAACTCAGACATCAATAAAGAATCAGAAAGCAGCAAGTGCACGGCATCACCCTTCGTGCTTTAACACTCTTCCTCACCCAAACAGCAATCATAAACAAGGGGCAAGGGAATAAACAGGAATAATAATAGAAATTCCGGCAAGGATCACAATTAAACAATTAACTCCCGACAAAGGTAACAACATCAACAAAGCAATAATGTCCCGACAAGGAACAATTAAATACGCTTTCTCTTTCTCTCACTTTTATTTCATAACTCACTTTACCACTTGAGCCAATGCTCCATAGGGTTCAATTATCTCATATACTTTCACAACTGTAATATAACTCGAGTCAATTCTCCTCGATGTTCATAGGTCACAATTTCCTTCCACAAGCTTTTCACAACAATTAGGAATCACCACTAAGGCATGAGAGATACAACGAAATCAAGATATTCGCGATGTAAAGACTCACGGTCATGCTTGACACCGATGTATAGATACTCGTCACCATGCCTATATGTCGTACACGATAATTACCACATAGCAAATAGGACTCAGCTCCTAATCCCTCAAGCTAAGGTTAGACCAACCACTTACCTCGACACCTTGAACACAACTCAAGTCTCAATGATAGTTTTACCCCTTGATTCCACCACCAATCCTCTCGAATCTAGCCACAAGTTACTTAATTACATTAGTAAATGCTAAATGAATTAAACCCAATGAATGAAAATGAGTTTTCCAAAGTTTTACCCAAAAAGTCAAAAATCGCCCCCGGGCCCACATGGTCAAAACCCGAGGTTCGAACCAAAACCCGATTAACCATTCCCCTATGAACTCGAATATATAATTTGTTTTGAAATCGGACCTTAAATTGAGGTCCAAATCCCCAATTTTTGAAAAACCTAGGTTCCACCCAAAACACCCAATTTCCCCATGAAAATCTTTGATTCTACATTGAAATCATGTTACAATATGTTAAGGAGTGAAGAAAATAAGTTAGAAATCACTTACCAATCGTTTTGGAGAAGAAACAATGTTTGAAAAATCGCCTCTTATGTTTTTGGGGTTTTGAAAAATGAAAAATGACTGAAAATACCGTCCATTTGTACCCCTCTCAGAGCCCCTGTGCGGACCGTACAAAACGAACCGCGGCCGCACAGCCCTGGTCCTGAGGGTAAGGTCTCTGGACCTTGCTGTGTGGACTACATAAAATCGACTGCGGTCGCACAGCCTCCACCGCGGACCACACGAAGGCTAGCGCGACCGCGCTGGACCCTCCGCAGTCGCACGCGATTTCTCGCGGACCGCACAAGTGGGTCAAGAGGCCTTCAACTTCCTGAACCTGCAACATCTGATTCCTAAGCCTAAGGCATCCCGGAACCTACCCCGAAACTCACCCGAGCCCTCGTAACTCCAAACTAAACATACGTACTAACTCAATAACATCATACAAACTTATCCGTGCGATTAAATTGCCAAATGACATCATAAACATCGAATTAAACCTCAAAATCCATGAATTCCTTCAAACTTCATAAAACAACAAATCTTCCAATTTAGGTCCGAATCGTGTCGAACGACGTTCGTTTTTCACCAAATTTTACAGGAAGTACTTATGATATATATAAGACCTGTACCAGGCGCCGGAACCAAAATACGGGCCCGATACCATAGCTTTCTAATCGAATTTCATTTCAAAGTTTCTTAAACATTTCCATAAAACAATTTCTTTCAAAAATTCATTTCTCGGGCTTGGGACCTCGGAATTCGATTCCGGGCATACGCCCAAGTCCCATATTTTCCTACGGACACTCTGGGACCATCAAATCACGGGTCCGGGTCTGTTTGCCCAAAATGTTGACCAAAGTTAAATTTATTCATTTTAACATCAAAACTTAGCATTTTTCACAAAATTTCATATTTCAGCTTTCCGGCTACGCGCCCGGACTGCACACGCAAATAGAGGTGACTCTAAATGAGGTTTCAAGGCCTCAGAGCCATAAAATTTAATTTAAAACAAGTGATGACTGTTTGGGTCATCACATTCTCCACCTCTAAAACAACTGTTCGTCCTCGAACGGACAGAAGAAGGAAGTACCCGAGTCGGGGAAAAGATGAGGATAACGGCCCCGCATATCGGACTCAAACTCCCAGGTCGATGCCTCAGGAGGCTGACATCTCCACTGAACACGAACAGAAAGGAAACTCTTCGACCTCAACTGACGAACCTGCTGGTCTAGAATTGCCACCGGCTCCTCCTCATAGGACAAGTCCTTGTCCAACTGGACAGTGCTGAAATCTAACACTTGGGCTAGATTGTCGTGATACCTCTGAAGCATGGACACATGAAATACTGGATGCACGGCTGATAAGCTCGGCGGCAAAGCAAGTCTATAAGCAACTTCTCCCACTCGATCAAGAATCTCAAACTGACCAATGAACCTAGGGCTAAGCTTGCACTTCTTCCCAAATCTCATCACGCCCTTCATAGGCGACACTCGGAGCAATACTTGCTCACCAACCATGAAAGCCACGTCTCGAACCTTACAGTCTACATAGCTTTTTTGCCTGGACTGAGCCAAACGAAGGCTATCCTGAATGATCCCGACCTTGCCCAAGGCCTCATGAACCAAATCTGTACCCAACAACCGAGCCTCCCCCGACTCAAACCATCCAACCGGAGATCGACACAGCCTACCATATAAAGCCTCATAAGGAGCCATCTGGATACTTGACTGATAGCTGTTGTTGTAGGCAAACTCTGCTAATGGCAAAAACTGATCCCACGAACCTCTAAGGTCAATAACGCAAGCTTGGAGCATATCCTCCAAAATCTAAATAGTCTTCTCTGACTGACCGTCCGTTTGGGGATGAAATGTTGTGCTCAACTCAACCCGTGTGCCCAACTCTCGCTGAACTGCTCTCCAGAAGCGCGAGGTAAACTGCGTACCCCGGTCCGAAATGATAGATATGGGCACACCATGAAGGCGAACAATCTCCCGAATGTAGATCTCAGCTAACCTCTCAGAAGAATAGGTGACTCCCACCAGAATGAAATGTGCTGACTTGTCAGCCTATCAACAATGACCCATACTGCGTCGAACTTCTTTCGAGTCTGCGGGAGTCTAGTAACGAAGTCCATAGTGATCTGCTCCCACTTCCACTCGGGAAGTTCGATCCTCTGAAATAAACCACCAGGCCTCTAATGCTCGTACTTGACCTGCTGACAATTTAGACAATGAGC